GGCCTGACTAGTTTTTACATCTTTTATCTCTACAGCCAGTGTTTCTCTGGTGTCTTCTGTTCTTTCAGGCCCAGCTAGTATTTTTAGGACTGTTGTTCTAAATTCTTGCTCAGATATATTGCTTCTATCTATTTTGAGCAAATCCCTGGCTGAGATTTTTTTCTTGATCTTTCTTTTGGGGAAAATTCCTCTGTTTTGTCATCATGTCTAAGTTTCTGTCTTTTGTGTATTATGAAAACTTACTGTGTTTCCTGCTCCTGAGAGTAATGCTATATTAAGAAAGGGTCATACACTGTCCAGGGCCTGGAGTTTCAGGAAGTCTTTCTAGTGTATGCCGTGTGCACTCTGCTATCAGGTTTTGGCTGTACTTTCCCAACGGTCAGTTCTCTACAGAGTTCCCCCTTCCTGGCAGTGAGGAGTGTTTGGACTTTTAACTAGGGTGCTTTGATCTGTTTGTTGTACGATAAGCCTCGCATCTGCCATGTTCTCTCCCTCCAACTGTGCAGATTGTTTTCTTTATCCTCAGATCAATTTCATAGTTGTTGAAAATGATTTAACGTTGATCTAGCTGTGTTTGAGGGATGAGGCAAGCTTAGGGTCCCTTTACTGCTCCACCATATTAACACCTCTCTGAAGGCACAGTTTTTATATCTCCAGTGTTAAACTTATTTTAACATTTTCTCTGTTTTCTTGATGTTAGCTTCTTCAGGGGTTAGTGTTCTGATTTTTAAGTGTGATGTTATGCCTTGTTGGATTTCCTCAAATATCTTTTTCTCCATTTTTAAAAAATTCAAATTCAATTAACATGTAATGTATTATAGGTTTCAGAGGTAGAGCTCAGTGATTCATCAGTCATATATAATACCCAGTACTCATTACATTAAGTGCCCTCCTTAATGTCTATCTGCCAGTTACCCCATCCTCCCACCTCCCTCCCCTCCAGCAACCCTCAGTTTGTTTCCTATGATTAAGAGTCTCTTGGGCACCTGGGTGGCTCAGTTGGTTAAGCGACTGCCTTCGGCTCATGCCGCATCGGGCTCCCTGCTCAGCAGGGAGTCTGCTTCTCCCTCTGACCCTACCCCCTCTTGGGTTCTCTCTCACTCACTCTCTCTCTCTCTCTCAAATAAATAAATAAAAATCTTTAAAAAAAAAGTCTCTTACAGTTTGTCTCCCTCTCTGACTTTGTCTTGTTTTATTTTTCCTCTCTTCCCCTATGATGCTCTGTTTGTTTCTTGAATTCCACATATGAGTGAGATCATATGAGAATTGTCTTTTCTCTGATTGACTTACTTCGCTTAGCATAATATCCTCTAGTTCCATCCACATCATTCCAAGTGACAAGATTTCATTTTTCTGATGACTGAGTAGTATTCCATTGTGTATATATACCACATCCTCTTTATACATTCATCTGTTGATGGACATCTGGGCTCGTTCCATAGTTTGGCTAGTGTGGACATTGCTGCTATAAACATTGGGGTGCTACATTTGTATCTTTGGGGTAAATACCCAGTAGTGCTATTGCTGGGTCATAGGGTAGCCTTATTTTCAACTTTTGAGGAACCTCCATACTGTTTTCCAGAGTGGCTGGACCAGCTGCATTCCCACCAACAGTGTAAAAGGATTCCCCTTCAAATATCTTTGAGTCTTGAAATTTTGTTCATATCTGTGAGTTCCTAGACACTTTCAAATATTCATAGTATTGAAGCTGGAGTATATTGAGTATATTGAGAACAAGCAATGTAGGCTCTGGTTATAGGACCCTCACTGGAAATGGATGTGCAGGCGGAAGGATGGGTGATATGCAGCCAAGGGACTTTCTACTGTTTGAGTGATTTCTCTCCTTGATTTGGTAGATTCCTGGCTCCTATCTACTGTCTGTTGATCCTGCATCCCTCTTGGCAGTTAATTGTGTCAGAACTCCTGACATGGAAAAGGACTTTGTCGAGAGATTTGGGTTATCTCTCCTCTGCTCCAGGGGTGACTAGCTCCCCATATCCTTTTTTACCCTGCCTTCTCCTTTCTTTCTCTTAATTCTGGCCTTTTCGTGGATTTTCTGGGAAAAGGCACTGACAGAGTGCTTCTTTTTTCTGCTCACATAATGACAAATTTTGACATGAGATATTCTCTTTCATCAGTGGTCGAGATCATGAATTCCAGCTCTTTGAAAATCTGATGGCTTTCAATTTTACGATTAAAATATGACCATCTCTGAAGAAGTGTTATTTTTTTAGTTGGGATTGCCACTGAAAACCTAGATATTTATCAATACTGAGGTGACTGGTTTTATTTTAATCTTTATCAGTGGGTCAGAGTCCACTGAAGATAAAACAATTATTTATCCAAAAGTTCAAAACAGTTTATGTTTGATGATCAGCTTGCATTAGTATTTATAAAGTTCTTGGATTCCAAGCTTTCAGCTGCATTTAGAGAAAGCACAGCAATGGATCTCTTCATAGTTCTGGTGATAGGTCTTTCTTGTTTGATTCCTTTCTTTCTGTGGAACTGTAACCGTGCCAAAGGGAAGCTGCCGCCCGGCCCCACTCCTCTCCCAATCATTGGAAATGTTCTACAGATAAATACTAAGAACATCAACAAATCCCTAAGCAAGGCAAGTATGATTACTTTCCTTCCAGTTGTTTGCAGTTACAGCCCTATATCTAAATAAAATATGGTCCCAGATGCCATGTTTTAAGGAAGTGGTTTGAACGGGAAGGGTCCCTTGGATACCCAGCCATGACTTTAAGCTGGAAGGCTGCCAGCAGGGAATGAGATCCATGACATGATTGTTGAGATTGCCAAAAGAAGGAATTCTCTGTCCATATTGTGACCAGGTTTCCTTTTTAGTAATTATTCTTTGCTAAACCCTAATGTCAATGAAACTGCTTTCAATTAAAAAAAAAACATAAAAGTTCTAATGACTTACAGCGTCACAATATTAAAAGTCTCCTAAAAGCTAACATGGTTTTAAGTCTAGGAAATAACTCAAGATTCCATACTTTTCAGTTTCTATTATATTTGCTCGCTGAGTGAGTGAATAACTACTCTATTTCTAGCTATTTAAATAGCAATAGCTCTCTAAATCTTGAAGGAATTGTCTGAAATCCGTCTTCCCTGAGACAGCTGGTGACCAGAACACAGCCTCTGGAAGCTCCTTTCTGTGTTTTGGGCTATGGATTCAAAGAGGTTTTGTCAGCACCCCAGCTCGTCCACTTGTAAACTCACAGCATTGGGCAAATTTAAAAAATCTCTCTGAGCCTTAACTTCCATTTCTTTAAAATGTGAATAATAATTGTATTTTGCACATGGTCCTTGAGTATATCATATATTGATCAAGTTACTGAATGCCTACTTTGTATTAGGCACTCTGTTAGATGCTGGGGCTTTTCAATGGTGAATGAAAAAAAAAAAGACCCGAGCATTATGGAATTTATAGTCTAGAGGGCAGGGCATGTATTTGTAAAGTAATCATGCAAATGAGTGTATGATTACAAACCATGTAACGGGCACAGTAGCAAGAGGACATGCAGCTTGGAGGAGCAGGGATGGGAGGAACAGTCAACAAAGGGTTCTCCGAGGAAGTGCGGCTGGAGCTGAGATCTAAAGAATGATCAAGCATTAAGCACACAAAATACAGATATAAGTTTGTTCCAGGCTGTTTCAGTCTGGAGGAGAATTACTTGTGGTGTCTCTGAAAGGACCAATTTGCTTACAGACCAGAGAGTAAATAAAAACATGGTGTGGGATGAGATTGGAGAAGTAAGTAGGGGCCAGAGCATGCAGGTCTTTCAAGGCTTTTAAGAATATCGGTTTTTAGGGGTGCCTGGGTAGCTCAGTTGTTTAAACATCCGACTTTTGATCTCAGCTCAGGTCTTGATCTCAGGTTGTGAGTTCAAGCCCTGTGTTGGGCTCCATGCTGGGCTTGGAGCCTAGTTAAGAAAAAATATATTGATCTTTTGCCTAAGAGCAATGTGATGCCATTAATGTGCTTAAAAAGGACTCTCATGTTAGCATTTGCCTTGTGAAAACATCACTCTGGTTGCTTTATGGAGAGTGAATTGTAAGGTAGCAGGAGGACTGAAACCTTGGATAAGTTGAAAGTGTGTATGTCCTACATCATTTAGAATACCAAGTAATTGGCCATCACAGAAAGATCCCAATAACACAATGGCTTAAAGAAGAGAGGAGCTTATTTCTGTCTTACAGAATGATATAGAGGTGAGTGCTATTGGGCTGCCTGTCTTCCCTGAGGTCATCCAGAGAACCAGGTTTTCTCAGTCTTGTAGTTTATCATCCTGGGTGCCTAGGCTATTGTTCTCATATGCAGGGACACAGTGGGGCTATGTCCAGCTGTCATTTCAGTCCTTGGGTAGGGGCAGGGATGGAGGGCATGCATTTACCATTTATGCAGTCATGTAGGATTTGCACACATCATTTTTGTCAACAGCAGTTCTTGCGAGCTTAGCCACATGGCCACACAGGGAAGCTGGGAAATGTCAGTGACTACATCGCCAGGTTCCTGTGTATTACTAAAATCTCGAGATCTCGGGTGCTAAAAAGATGTGGGGGGTGGATAATGAGGGATGATTGTGAGAATCTACACAGGGGGCAAGAGAAGGAACATCCTTTAAACAGGATGAGAAACATATCATTTATTGTAACTATAGGAAGGAAGGAAAAATTTGGTGCAATTATAGGTTTGGCAGATAAAAGTTAATAAAATAATATGAATGAAATCCATAATACACTCCCTGTCACATAGTAGGAACTGAATAAATGATAAACTGTTGATGATGATAATAGTAGCAATGTTACTAACAATGTAATGATAATTACTACTTAATGTCATTTATTAAATTACCAGCTCTAGAAGTTGAAATCTTTTATACTGGGTGCGTGAATATTAAAATGTCTCTTTGGTAAGGTTAAAACTATTTACCTCACTTATCTACATTCGTAGTTTTGAAATTCTACTCTTGTACCTCCTATTCCTTTCCCAGCTAGCAGAGCGTTACGGCCCTGTGTTCACTGTGTATCTTGGCATGAAGCCCACTGTGGTGTTATATGGCTATGAAGCGATAAAGGAAGCTCTGATTGATCGGAGTGAGGAGTTTTCTGACAGAAGCTGTTTCCCAGTGGTGGACTGGATCACCCGGGGAGTAGGTATGCCTCAATTTGGAGAATGTATGTGGGTGTGTAAGCTGCAAAGACTCCAAACAGGCTAAGGGACAGAGAAATTGTTAGTATTTAGAGAAATTTATTTAGAGAAAACAGCATAATTCCAACATTTTTCTATAAAGGATCATTAATCCATATTGTAGATAATGAAGGGGACACACAGTGTCTCCGTGAAACACTAGATGCAATGAAAGCAAATCATCTGTTAACATTCTATGAATTTGTGTTCACTTTAAGTTATGGCCAGTTAAGATAATGTTCGTTTCAGTTAAGATAATAAGAGACTGAGAGAAGAGAGAAGGGAGGAAAATGACTCAGTTATCCTAGTCACCAAACATTCTGCTTTCTGGTCTGAGTCATGGTTGCCAAGAGACTATTTTAGGGAAGTCCCATAGTGTGCATGGAGCCAACATAGGTTTGAAATATTTCCAGCCTTGTCTTCAATCTTTTACCCTTCTAAAAAAAAGTACAAGAAATATTTGAATCCAATGGAATACAAAGCATAAAGCACAAATATGCTCCGAGAAGATAATTATGGACAAATGCATGATGAGTACATATGGATTGCAAGTGATCCTAGAAAAAGCTTTTGAAACTAAAGTACTTAAACTGTCTTCCTTTTGTTTTGGAGCTGGCCTTAAGCTGTCCAGTACTCTGGTGGGTCACTGGGTTTCTGCAAAAAGAGATAAGGCCTGAATGGGGCCACTTCCTCCTCTACATCGGTCTTTAAAATCTTTATGGACAAGTTTCCTGAGAATTACTTTTTCTCCTGATCTTGTCCTGGCTCCGGAAGTCTGATTGAACTTCCTTGGTGTTAAGACCATATTTCATGGAAAAGATTTAACAAACAGGGGAAATGGGAAAATGAGGAGGAGTAGATTTTCAGGAACTTCTTTCCAGTGCACAAGTACTCTCTCCTTCTCTTGAGAATCGACTCTGTTTGTTGCCTCCCCTACAGTTCATTCACAATGTACAAAAACCAGCCCTGAAAATGTCACCTACACTTGGACTCACCATGATTCATTACCAGTGTGATCACAGAGCAAGCATTTTGCCTCCATGATCATCAGTAAAATGGGGACCAAAACACTTGGTTCACAGAGTTATCCTGAGGTTTGAAGGAGCTAACAGATGAAGAAGAGTTGGGTAATATGTCAAACCCAGAGTCTTGACAGATACGAGGCTGGGTTAACAGGAGATGGGTGAAGCAGGACTCATTGGAAATTCCTGTGGCTGACACCACTCTATTTACATCCCTGCTTAAGTGTGATTATTATTTTCTGAGATAAAGACTCTCATTGTAACGGAGGTCATTCTCTCTCTCTCTCTTTGTCTTTCTGATAGGAATTATTTTCAGCAGTGGAGAAAAATGGAAGCTAACCCGAAGTTTTTCCCTCACGATTCTGCGGAATATGGGGGTGGGAAAGAAGACTATTGAAGACAGAATTCAAGAGGAAGCCTTATGTCTGGTGGAAGCGTTAAAAAAAACCAATGGTGTGTATTTCTTTATGTATTTAACAGTACTAGTTTGGGAGGACCAAATGCTATTTCAGATAGGCTACAGCGAGATCTGATGGCTCAAGCACAATAGAAGTTGCTTTTTTGCTCACATGACAGTAATAAGAGGTGAAGTGGTTGGCATAACAGCCTTCTCAGGCTCTAGGTTGATAGGAACCCTGATGTCTTTCTTCAACACGTGGCTTCCTGTGCCACTCATAATTCATCTCTTTGCATGGTAGCAGAAGGAGCAAAGAACAAAGAAAAGAGCAAACTGTGTTTTCAGTAGGCCAGGTATGTCAATGGCACACCAAACTTCTTTCATATTCCATGGGCTCTAACTCAGTCGCAGGGCCACACCAACTCTAAGGGGCACTGGGAAATGTGGTTATCTGCATGCAGAGGAAAATGGGGAGAACATGGATTTTGGTAATGAACTAGTAGTTTTGGCCATAATACCTTGAAAAATGAAGTAATGTCCCTAGTAACTTCTTGAGAACACTACAAACATTTCAGTATAAATGTATGTCAAGTCATTATGCTGGGCACTTTAAACTTACACAGTGCTGTCAATCTCATATTAGTAAAACTGGGGCCGGGGGGGGGGCGGAGCACTGGTGCTTCAGTGGTAGGATTCACACCAAACCCTTCTCAGTGCTTAGGGCTGCATTATGGCTCACCTGGAGGAGTATGGGTGTGAATGGAGGGCGCTTCAGTAGCACGAGTTGGCTCTGTGTATTTGTGTGTATGCACAGGCAGGACTGGGAGGGGAGGTGGAAGAGAAAGGGAGTGGGAAGGAGACTTGGCAGGAAAGGCGTAAGATCAGGATCATCAGATATATGTGGTTTTTTGAACCTCAATATTTAAATATTTTACAACTAAATAATGCTGTTTTATATATGGTGAATTTCCATTGTGTTTCATATATATATACACACATATATATATATTTTAGAGAGAGTGGTGGGGAGAGGCAGAGGGAGAGAGAGAATCTTAAGCAGACTCCACATTCAACACGGAGGCTGATGCAGGGCTCGATCTCACGACCCTGAGATCATGACCTGAGCTGAAACCAAGAGTCGGATGCTTAACCACCTGAGCCACCCAGGTGCCCCTGCCGTTGTGTTTTTTAACCCATGTTATGTATTGTCCAGACAGCTTGTCCTCACCTTTTTTTCTTTTGCTGCTATTAATATAAAAAATGTAATTATTACAAATACTTGCATGATTCTTGTTTCTTCCTTGGAATAAGTTGTGACAGTAGAGTGTCAATGAATATCATTTGGACTTTTGATGTATATTATTACAGAGGAATGGGTGGGAGACCTGGCAGAAGAAGGGATATAAACGTATATAGTTTTGTAAACTTCCAATTTAACATATTACATACTTTCACGTGTTTAATTTTTGTTCATCAAGAACATTATTGGGGCGCCTGGGTGGCTCAGTCATTAAGCGTCTGCCTTTGGCTCAGGTCATGATTCCAGGTCCTGGGATCGAGCCCCACATTGGGCTCCCTGCTCCGTGGGAAGCCTGCTTCCCCCTCTCCCACTCCCCCTGCTGGTGTTCCCTCTCTCGCTGTGTCTCTCTCTGTCAAATAAATAAATAAAATCTTAAAAAAAAATTATTAACAGACTACTACAGTATTCCACTATTTGGATGCTCCTGACCTACTCTCGCCCAGATTCTGCCTAATCCCACCAAGCTATGGGGCCCCAGACTCTTGGGTAACCCATTTCACCACTGGGTAATTCTGACTATTGAAAGGTTCTTTTACATGTTGAGCAGAACATTTTTCCTTATAACTTCTACTTTTTGATCCCTGCTAAGTTATTTTTTTCCTTTTGGAGTTATAGTGATGTAACAGTCACCTCACAGAGACAAGATGTACCTCCCACCCCAACTTTGGTTTCAATGTTGAGAGTGATTGTACCACACACACTCCATTTGGATGTAAAAAGTTTGTGACTCACAAAATGAGCCTTTCTGTGGAGGGTGGGGGTGGGGCACTGGTTCCTAAGCAGATAAAGAAGCAGCTCGAATGTGCCTGGGTGGCTCAATTGGTTAAGCTTCTGCCTTTGGCTCAGGTCATGATCCCAGGGTCCTGGGATGGAGCCCTGTGTTGAGCTCCTTGCTCAGCAGGGAGTCTGCTTGTACCTCTCTCTCTGCCCCTCACCCTCCTCCTCTCTCTCTCTCAAATAAATAAAATCTTAAAAAAAAAAAAAATAGCGGCGCCTGGGTGGCTCAGTCATTAAGTGTCTGCCTTCGGCTCAGGTCATGATCCCAGGGTCCTGGGATCGAGTCCCGCATCGGGCTCCCTGCTCAGCGGAGAGCCTGCTTCTCCCTCTCCCTCTGCTGCTGCTCCCCCTGCTTGTGCTCTCTCTCTCTCTCTCTCTCACTATTTCTCTCTCTGTGTCAAGTAAATAAATAAAATCTTTTAAAAAAAGATATTTTTATATGACCTCCTTCTTGTGAATTATCTTGTGGCTCTTATTTGGAGAATAATGTAAATAGAATACGTGGGGGAAATTAATAAATGGACTGGATTAGATAGCTTCATTTGGGGAAACAATAAATTATAGGCATGTGGAGTTTACAGTGATGATGACATGTCCAGGGATTTCCTATACCTAAAAGACTCCCAGCAGTCAACCCTTCTCAATCATTTTAAAACAGTCAACTTAAGATTTATATGAAAATTGTGCTCTAACTTTTAACTTGTTTTAGCATCTCCCTGTGATCCTACGTTGCTTCTGGGCTGTGTTCCGTGCAATGTCATCTGCTCCATTATTTTCCAGAATCGTTTTGAGTATGATGATAAAACATTCTTAACCTTGTTGGAATATTTTCATGAAAACTTCCTAATTTCAAGCAGCTCCTGGATACAGGTAAGGTCAAGTTTCTCTGAAATGGGAAATAATTTTCTAACTAATCTATTGTTCATGCTTACCTCATCCCTTTGTCCTGTTTCCAAGTGGCTACAGTTAGGTTTATCAAACTATCATTTGCAACCAATTAGTGAGTTATCAAATCAATTTAATGTATTGAAATGAAGTTTAGAACATGAAATATAGTGGGGTGCCTGGATGGCTCATGCACCACTCATATGACTGGTGATTTCGGCTCAGGTCATGATCCCCTCCCCCCCCCGCCCGATGAGGGGATCGAGCCCCTCATCAGGGTCCCTGCTCAGCAGGGAGTCTGCTTGAGATTCTCTCTTACCCTCTCCCTCTTCCCCTCCCCACTGTGCTCACTCGCTCTCTGTCCCTCTCTCTATAATAAATCTTTAAAAGCTTATTTTAAAAACCATGAAATATAGTAATGGAGAAATGTGGTATAGTGCATCAATTATAGCAAGGTATTTTTTTGAGAAACCATTTTATATCCATAGATGAAGAGGATGATGATGTAAAATGTGTTTTTTACTATAGCACACTGTCAGAAAACCTATGTTGTATGATCATTAAGAACTTAAATTTTGTGTGGACCATAAGGTCATGATGTGTTCCACCTGGAAAGGACTCTAGAGAACAAGGAGTCTACTCATTTTTTGGAACAGGAAACTATCACCCAGAGATATTAAGCATATTTTCCAAAGACAAAGAAATCCTAGCCAAGACAAGGAATGAGCAAGACCTAGAGTCTAGATTTCTCTGTTCTCTCTGTAGTTTGATACAAACTACTGGCCTGAAAATTGCTTCAGTGCCTATCAAGGGCACTAAGTCATGAGGTGCTATCTAAAGTAGAGTCAGTAAATTCTAGGACTGGCCTTGGGCAGATGTAAAAGGGCAATATGCATATTCCTGAGGGTATAAAAATCCCTAAATAAGCTAAGTAATGTGGGCATTTCTTTAACTTTTCTGATGTAGTTTCTTCATTACAAAAAAACTTTTTAGGTCACTCTAGAAAAATGTGAAGGTAAACTGGGGTGAACACTACGTTCTAGCTCTATTACTAGACTGATGTCTTACAATGGTTGACTGACCTTTCTGAACCTCAATATTCTCCTTTGGGAAAAGATGGTATGCTCCTGGATTCCTTCATAGAGTTATGGCTAGGAAATAAAGTTAAATGGTTTTGAAATTGCTTTGTGACTTGTGCATACTGTAACTCCAGACATCTTGTCAGTTCCCTCTCCTTCAAATTCCAAGTGTGTTCTAGTGCACGAAGCGTGTCTTACTCACCTTTATCTACTCAGAATATAACTAAGTGTCTGATACATAACATGGGCCCATAAAACTTTGCTGAGTGAATTAATGAATGATTCTTTCCTCTTTCAGCTCTACAATGCTTTCCCTCTTTTAATACACTACCTTCCAGGAAGTCATCATGTGTTATTTAAAAACATTGCTAACCAATTTAAGTTTCTTATGGAAAAAATAAAAGAACACCAAGAATCCCTGGACTTCAGTAACCCTCGGGACTTTATTGACTACTTCCTGATCAAAATAGAAAAGGTATAGTGTGACCCTTTATCTTTGTGGGTGGTGTGATTCGTGGATTAGCTTTGTTCTTCCCAGTGAAACTGGGATATTAAAACAAATGGTCCTTCTGAAAGATGTATTAATTGCTTGTGTAACCTCTTATTTGTGCACACCATATTGGGTATCTTGAGATATTTCTAAATTCTCACTGAAAATGACTTTGCGGGTTTTACATTTATCATGTTAAATAAAGCTGGTTCTTTATTTGGGGGCAGATTGAAATACACACACAAATTCAAGATTAATGATAACAGATCATCCTTCATCAAAAAAGTTCAGCAATGGGAAGATGTAACAAAATGAGGGGACACAGGAACAGACAGGAATCTGTCTGCAAAGGCACTAGGAAATCTTCACAGATGAGGTAGATTTTGAAGAAACTATAGCTTAGATGAACAGAGACAACAAAGTAGGCCCAGGGAACGAGAAGTGCAAGTGATCAAGAGGGTGGAATTTTCTGAGAGGTAATCTTGATTGTAACTGAGGAACTGGGTGTAATGACTGATGCGTGGGAATAGTGATGCATTTTGTGTGTGTGGGGGGTGGTTCTGGAGGCTTGAATGAGAAAATTAGACATTATAAAATAGGCAGTAAATGCTAGAATTGACAGTAGCAGTGAGGACTTGATAAAAATTGTTTCAAAGAAATGGTAGAGAAACTGATCGACTTGAGGGGAATGAGAAAGTGAAGAATCAGAAAGGACCTGTTGGAACTTTATAACTCTGATTATATTTTGACTGTTGGACAGAACCCTAACAACTATCTAACTTGACCTTCAGCTGTAGCACTTACACCAAATAACAATGTCATATTGAGTTAAGTTACCTCTGAGGCTCTTTTATTTATCAAGTAATTGTAACACATCATTTCTAGGAAAAACACAATAAACAGACTGAATTTACCATGGACAACTTGATCATTACCATATGGGATGTGTTTGGTGCAGGAACAGAGACAGTAAGCACCACCCTGAGATATGGACTCCTGATGCTGCTGAAGTACCCAGAGGTCACAGGTATGGTCACAGGTGTTGGGCAGGGTGCAATTCCAGGTAGAAATTGGCTGGTGACACTGACAACTATCCCACCCTTCACCTGCCCAGACAGCGCACAGAAAAAATTTCCTTCATTCGTACATCTTCCCGTCATTGGATAAATTAGATACAAATTAGTTTAGAGTACAAAAAGATAATGAAATATTTAAACAGCAGCAGAGATTTGAAGGGCAGAGCTCACTGTTTCCTCTGCTATGGTGGAATGTCCCTGATCTGCGTTGCGACAGATGCAATAATAAGCAGAGTTGTCTTAGGATCTAGAAGAATTGGCCTTCTGCTTTCTCTAAAAGGATATCACTTGATATGCCTTCCATGTCCAGATAAATATATTTTTGTCAGAGGAAATTTCTACTGAAATGCATTTGCAGTGTAAGGATCGATTCAACAAAAATGACAGTCTTGCTTTATCAAAGAGTCTCAATCCCTAAATAAAAAGGGTTACATACAAATACATTCTTTTCAAATATACCCATTTGGGCATATAAATTCTTCCTCACAAGTATAATTTCTCTTGCAAATACAGCCTTTCCACTTTTCCTCCTCTTTTTTTCTTGAGTGCTCATCCAAGGGGATATTTCCTTCACTACCAGGTCATGTTCTGTGCTTTGGCACATAGAGACACTTTTAATACAATTAAATCTCAGGAAGCTTATCTCCATGATGTCAGCACTAGATTATTCTTTGTTTAAGGTCCTCCTCCCCTCCCAGTCTAAATAAGAAGTGCTTTCCAAATGGTGGGATCTAGAAGCACAGCTTCAGAATTCCTTTCCTCTCACACATTGTGGGATCTAATGGCACTGTGTCTCCTTCACGCGACACAGACTCTTTCAGCCAAATAACTTCCCTCTTATTAGACCTATGTTGATTATGACCACAAACACTGTATGACATTTTTTTCCAGACCTGTAAATCTTGTGTACATAGCAAAAGTCCTTTTTGTGTCCTGGTTCCCCATTGCTTCCATGTTCATTTTTTCTTGCATCATATCCATTTATATTTTCCTTTTCTTTCTTCCCATTTTCATTCCTTACTGGGCCATTCTCTACGCATTCTGATTTTATAAGTCAGTTCCTAACCACTTTACATAATCACTCTCTTCTAGATAAAAATCCAGCTTCTCAACCTGGAAAGGTGAAGTTTAAAACTTCTCTAAAATTCCTAAGTCTTCCTGACAGCTATCAAACCACAGAGTTATCACATGCTCCCTTACCAAAGACACATTCTTCAGGTAGTAGATCAACACCATTTGACCAAAGTAGCAACCTGGTACTGGCTATAGTAGACAAACTACAGTGGCTTCAGATTCTGACTTTACTAGTAAGTAGCTGTGTGACCTCAGACTCATGACTACCTCTCCGCATATCTTGCTTGGTCTGTCATCTGTTTAGGAGAGATGATACTTCCTAACATTCACAGAATCTTTCCCTCATAGGAGAAAGTTAATAAATGTTTGTTTTAACTAATGAATAGTTCTACTAAAACTGCATATTTTTTTACAGGATACATTTTGCAAATAAAGGACGAATATAATTTGCTAATACAAATTACTTTCAGTGATCTTATTCAATTGCTAAGATTGCGGGTTTGGGAATAAGAAGGACCACATAACACCTGGGTGTCCTTAAGAAAGATACTTACTTTTATGGACCTGCTTTCTCGTTTTTAAGACAAATAATACCCAACACATAGAACTATTTTGAGGAATTATAAAGTAATGTAATACATTGTACAGCATGCCTGTCATGTTTTGCATTCTAAGTAAATGTTAACTTCTGGGTCCTATGTGCTGAGTCAAACATTTTATTCCGTTGTTCTACTTATTAAGCATTTATTGCACTGGGTAGTTCTTACCCTCTTGGAACTTAACATTTTTCTTTTAAAGATTTTATTTATTTATTTGACAGAGAGAGACACAGCGAGAGAGGGAACACAAGCTGGGGGAGTGGGAGAGGGAGAAGCAGGCTTCCCGCCGAGCAGGGAGCCCGATGCGGGGCTCGATCCCAGGACCCTGGGATCATGACCTGAGCCGAAGGCAGATGCTTAACCAACTGAGCCACCCAGGCACCCCTGGAACTTAACATTTTTTTAAAAATATTTTATTTATGGGGCCTGGGTGGCTCAGTCGGTTAAGCGTCTGCCTTTGGATCGGGTCATGATCCCAGAGTCCTGGGATCGAGTCCCGCGTCCGGCTCCCTGCTGGGCGAAGAGCCTGTTTTCCCTCTGCCTGCTGCTCCCCCTGCTTGTGCTCTCTTTCTCCCTACAAATAAATAAAACCTTAAAAAAATATTTATTTGTTTGAGAGAGAGAGCAACACAGAGAGCATGAGGGGGTGAAGGGCAGAGGAAGAAGCAGGGAGCCCGATGTGGGGTTCAGTCCCCAGACTCCGGGATCATCACCTGAGTCCAAGGCAGACATTTATCAGACTGAGCCACCCAGGCACCCGGAACTTACATATTTAAAACAAAAACTGGCATACACAAAGTGGTCAAACAGCATGGTCTGTGGTGAGCTTTCAAGACCCCAGATCCCTGAGTTTATCAAACAAAGTACTCAAAATAGAGAATCAAAGTTGAATTTCATGGTACAATTATGTTTTATATGTACATATATTTAAGTCTCTAATGAGATACCAATTTGACTAAGAAACAAATTTCTTTTTTTTTTCTTTCCCTGTGGTAGTAGCCATATATGATTTCCCCCTCTCCCAATCTCCTTCCACAATGGAACCATGATTAAGATCAAATCAAGGGGCACCTGGGTGACTCGGTCAGTTAAGCGTCCTACTCATGGTTTCTGCTCTTGTCATAATCTTGGGGTCGTGAGATTGGGTCTCCCGCCAGGCTCTGCACTCAATTCGGAGTTGGCTTGAGGTACTTTCCTCCTCCCTCTGCCCCTCCCTTCCGACTCTCTCGCTTTAGAATAAATAAATAAAATCTTTCAACAACAACAAAGGTCAAAAAAGGTCAGACCTTTCCATTTCACGTAAATTCTGATTCCTATCCTGCCAGCTAAAGTCCAGGAAGAGATTCACCATGTGGTTGGCAGACATCGAAGCCCCTGCATGCAGGACAGGAGCTGCATGCCCTACACAGATGCTGTGGTACACGAGATCCAGAGATACATTAACCTCATCCCCAACAGTCTCCCACATGCAGTGACTCAGGATATTAAGTTCAGAGAATACCTTATTCCCAAGGTGAGAGATATTTCATCTCTACTACTCCTTAAGAATTTTGCTTTTACTTCTTATTTTTATTTATATATTTTTAGTTTTGAGAGAGAGAGAAAGCAAGGGGGGGGAGGGGCCGAGGAAGAAGGATAGAGAATCTCAAGCAGGCTCCATGCCCAGCCCAAGCCCATCCAGGGTCTCCATCTCATGACCCTGAGATCATGACCTGAGCCCAAATCAGGAGTTGGAGGCTTACCTGACTGAGCCATCTAGGTGCCCCCTCCTTAAGAATCCTAGGTTATCAAGCATCACAACAGTAGGATTATAGATTACCTAACCATCTACAGATATGGCACATTCATAGCCCAGGCATCTTACCCTCTGACCACATGCTCCTTTCCTTTTACTTTGTTGATACAATTTTATAAATCATAGTGCTTAGACTCCCACAGGATTTTCTTCACAGTATTCATTGACAAGACCGCTTACTGCCTATGTTTTCTTCTGGGATTTTTGGTTTTAGTTCTTATGTTCAATTATTTAATTCATTTTGTGTTCATTTTTGTGGCTGTTGTAAGTTAGGGTCTGGTTTTTCCAACACCCTTTATTGAAGAGACTGTCTTTTCTTGATTGTATATCTTGGTGCCTTTGTTAGAAAGTAATTGGCCTTCTATGCATGGGTTTATTCCTGGGCTCTCTACTCTGTTTCATTTTATGTGTCTGTTTTATACCAATATCATGCTGTTTTAATGACTGTTGCTTTGTAATACGGCTTGAAATCAGGAAGTGTGATGCCTCCAGCTTTGCTTTTTCTCAAGATTGCTTTGGCTATTTAGGATCCCTTGTCATACTACAGAAATTTTAGGATGGTTTGTTTCATTTCTGTGAAAATGCCATAGGAATCTTGATAGGGATTACATTGAATCTATAGATGGCTTTGGATGGTGTAGACATTTTAACAATATTAATTTTTTCAAACTGTGGGCACAAAATATCTTTCCATTTATTATGTGTCTTCTTCCATTTCTTTTATCAGTGTCATAGTTTCCAGTGTACTGATCTTTTACCTCATTGGTTAAATCTATTACTAGAATTTTTTATACCAATGTGAATGGGATGGTTTTCTTAATTTCTTTTATAGTTTATAATTAATGTGTAGAAATGCAACAGATTTTTATATATTCATTTTTATCCTGAATTCACTTATTCTAACAATTTGGGTGGAGTCTTTAGGGATTTTTAAAATCTACAATATCATGTCATCTTCAAATAGTGACAATTCTGCTGCTTTTCCTATTTGAGTACCTTTTATTTCTTTTTCTTGCCAAGTGCTTGGACTAGGACTTCTAATACCATGTAGAATAAAAGTGGTGAGAGTGGACATCCTTCTTTTGCTCCTGATCCTAGAGGAAAAGCTGAAGCTTTTCCCCACTGAGGATGATGTTAGCTGTGGACTTATCATATATGGCCTTTTTTATGTCAAGGTACATAATCTCTATATCTACTCTATATCTACTTTGTTGAGCATTTTTATCATAAATGAATGTTGGATTTTGCCAGATGCTCTTTTCTGCATCTACTGAGATGATCATATGATTTTTAGCCTTCATTTTTTAATGTCTAGCACAATGATTTGGGGATGTGGAACCATCCTTGCATCCCTGGAATAAATCCCGCTTGATTATGGTATATGATCCTTTTATTGTACTGTTCGATTCAGTTTGCGAAGATTTTGTTGCAAATATGTACACCTTTGTCCATCAGAGATATTGGCCTTTAAGTTTCTTTTCTTGTGGTGTCCTTGTGTGGTTTTAGTATTAGGATTATGCTGCCCTCGCAAAATGAATTTGGAAGTGTTCCCTCCTCTTCTATTTTATAGTTGAGAAGGATTGGTATTCGTTCCTCTTTAAATGTTTGATAGAATTCACCAGGGAAGCCATATGTCCAGGAATATTGTCTTTTGAGAGAGGTTATTTATTTATTTATTTATTTATTTATTTATTTATTTATAAGATTTTTATTTATATACTTGAGAGAGAGAGCAACCAGCAGGAGAAGAGGCAGAGGGAGAGGGATAAGCAGACTCTCTGCTGCGCAGGGAGCGTGATGTGGGGCTCGATCCCAGGACCCTGGGATCATTACCTGAGCTGAAGGCAGGTGCTTAACTGACTAAGCCACCCAGGCGCCCTGAGAGAGTTTTAATTAGTGATTCAATCTGAGTAATTGGTCTGTTCACATTTTCTATTTCTTCATGATTGAGTCTTTGTATGTTGTATGTTTTTAGGAATTTAACCATATCTTCTAGGTTGTCCAATTTTATTTAAAAATTTTATTATTTTGAGAGAGAGAGCACCAGTGCACAGGGGGAGAGTGAGAGAGAGAAGCAGGCTCCCCACTGAGCAGGGAGCCCGACATGGGGCTCGATCCCAGGACCGTGAGATCATGACCTGAGCCAAAGGCAGATGCTTAACCAACTGAGCCACCCAGGGGCCCCATAGGTTGTCCAATTTTTTGGTGTATAATTGTCCATTATGATCTCTGATGATCTCTTGTATTTCTGTGGTATCACTTGTAATGTCTACTTCATTTCTGATTTTGAGTCCTGTCTTTTTTCTTGGTGAGTCTTGCTAAAGGTTTATCCATTTTGCTTATCTTTCTTTTCAACAAACAAGCTTAGTTTTATTGACCTTTTCTTTTTTTTTTTTTTTAAGATTTTATTTATTTATTTGACAGAGAGACACAGTGAGAGAGGGAATGCAAGCAGGGGGAGTGGGAGAGGGAGAAGCAGGCTTCCCGCGGAGCAGGGAGCCCAGTGTGGGGCTCCATCCCAGGACCCTGGGATCACGACGAGCTGAAGGCAGACCCTTAACAATTGAGCCACCCAGGCGCCCCTCATTGACCTTTTCTGTTGTCTTTTTAGTTTCTGTTTCATTTATTTTGACCATGGTATTTGTTATTTCCCTACTTGTCCTAACTTTGGGCTTCATTTGTTCTTTTTCTAGTTCCTTGAGGCATAAAGTTAGGTTGTTTGAGATTTTTTATTTCTTCATCTAGGCATTTATTGTTCTAACTTTCCTCTTTGAACCGCTTTTCCTGCATCCCATAAGTGTTGGTATGTTATGTTTCCATTTTCATTTCTCTCAAGGTATTTTTTCTTTTTTGATTTCTTCTTTGACTCATTGGTTGTTCAGTAGCATGTTTTTTAAACTCCACATACCTGTGAATTTTTCAGTTTTGTTTTTCTAGATTCATACCACTGTGATCAGGAAATATGCTTGATACGATTTTTTTTAAGATTTTATTTTTAAGTAATTTTGACACCCAGCATGGAGCTTGAACTCACAACCCCAAGATCAAAAGTCACATGCTCTGCCAACTGATCCAGCATGGTGCCCCAGGTCCATCTGATTTTAATCTTCTGTAATTTTTTAATGCTTATTTTGTGCCTTAATGTATTATCCATCCTGAGAAATAGTCCACGTGTGCTTGAGAAGAATGTGTACTCTGTTGCTTTTGGATGGACTGTTCTGTATCTCTTAAATACACAGACTCATACACTCATATGCTTTGAAGTTCTTATGTGATAATTCTAACATTTAGGATACTATGGGGTCTGCTTTTTCACATGTTTAAAAATCACATGCTTGGGCTGCCTAGCTTGCTTAGTCAGTGGAGTGTACGACTCTTGATTTTAGGGTTGTGAATCAAACCCCACACTGGGGGTGGAGCCTACTTAAAAAAATAATTTATTATACGCTGAACATTTTGAATGATGCCTTGTGGGGAGTCTGATGATGCTGACTTCCCCTACAGGGCATTGACTTTTATTTTGGCAGGTAGCTAAATTACTGACAGATGCTTTTCAGTCTGTTGGACTTCCTATAGTTCTTTCATTGTGAATTAGTTTCACTTTTGAATTTAGTCTTTGTGCATGGCCCTTAGTCCAGTGTGTGTTCCTTAATCCAACAATTTACAAGTTTGGGGCTCACCACGAAAAAATCTGAGGTGCCAAGAAAGTTCTCTCCACCCTAGCTGGATTGGAACCTCAACTCCTCTATCACTTATCATCTGATACCCACCTTCAATTCTCAAGCAGTCATACTCTGATAGGTTCCATTGAGTTTCCTCCTGTATGTGTGTCACCCAACCCCTAACCACGGACTTCTAGAGAATAGTTTTGTATACTTTTGAGATCCTCTCTATTTATAGAATCCTCCTGGTATCCTTCCTCATGAATTCGAGATGCCAATTTTTTTTTTTTTTACCTCTGTCTTCTTAGCTCAAAAAGAGTAGCACTTTGCTTGGCCTTCACGTCCCTGAACTCTAGGAAGAAAGTGACCTTTCTGCAGTGAGAACTACATCATGTATTTGGAAAGGCCAGACAGTACACGAGAAAGCATCCAGACAGATTTAGATCTGAATTTTTTCTCTGCTATGTAATAAATATATGACCTCTATTAAGAGCCCAAGATTGTGAATGAAGTCATTATCATAACAGTAAAAAATTTCTCTTTTTGGAGCATTTTTGTGTGGTAATTATTTTTGGTTTTGTTTTTTTGAGAGAGAGAGAGAGAGAGCATGTGAGCAGGGGAGATGGGCAGAGTGGGATAGAGAATGTTTTAAAGGAATTTATTTATTTATTTATTTATTTATTTATTTAGAGCATGCAAGGAGAAGGAGAGGGAAAGAGAGAATCTCAAGCCGACTCCACGCTGAGCATGGAGCCCAGGGCAGGGCTTAATCTCAGGACGCTGAGATCATGAGTCAAAATCCAGATCAGATCACCAACCGACTGAGCCACCCAGGTGGCCCTAGCATGTGGTAATCTTCGTGCAAAAGTATTTCGTATGTTATCTTATTTTACATCTGCAATGAACTAGTGCAGATGTATCCTTTACATTTTACTAGTAATGAAAATGAGTCATGGAAATGTTAAACAAATAATCTATCATCACAGGGCATAATTTAATAGAAAGATTTGATTGATTTTGAAAACTAAACTCCAAATCATTATGTTACACTGTATCCGTGAGTTTCAGAAAACCCTACTAGAAATCAGAAATGTTCTCTCATTTCCACAAGAATGCACAACAATTCAATTGAAAGAGCACAACAGGAGGAGGGAATAGTTATCCTGTTCTCATCTTTTTAAAAAAAATTTTTTTTAAAGTAGCTCTACACCCAGTGTGGACCCATGACCGCGAGACCAAAACTCACATGCTCTATTGATTGAGCCAGCCAGGCGCCCCTGTTTGTCATCCTGATGGGAAGGTGAAGGGTTTTCAAAAATACGGCCACTCAAGTAGAACTTTGAAGACCTCATACTCGGTTCCAAAGAAAATGAGCTGGATTTTCAGTGGCATCAGCTCTTTTAGACAATACCACAATTTATTTGTCAAGAACAATACACTCCAGGGAGTTCCCTTAATTTTCTGAAAAGCAAGTGCTAGTATCAGGCTACCAATTGAAGAGAATGACTTGGGAGTCAGTTAACAGTGCCTTGGACTGGCGTTACAGGATTTAAAACCTGTTAGGGTCGGTCATTCGTTTGTTCTGTGAAATGGAGTAAATAAGCTCTTTTTGTGCCTGTCTCCTCATCTATAAAACAAAAGGATTTCAAGCTCCATGACTTTCATTATAATCCAGTTTATCTGTTTTTCTTCGTATCAGGGCACAGCCATAGTAACATCTCTGACTTCTGTCCTGCACGATGACAAAGAGTTTCCCAACCCAGATTGCTTTGATCCTGGCCACTTCCTGGATGAAAGTGGCAACTTTAAGAAGAGTGACTACTTCATGGCCTTCTCAGCAGGCAAGCAAGCTTCATTGTTATTTCTGCACCAGGGGTCAGTGAGATGAGGAAGGGCTTTGCATGGAGGCTACTCGGGGCTGAACAGATTGTCATTTGTATGAGGCTAGAGGCATCATGCCCGAAGCCCAGCTTCTTTCTCATTTGACCGGAGGCTTCCCTTGCCAAGATTGGCCCCAGAACCCACCACTGAGATTCCAAAGAAGGGGCAGAAGGTAGAGTAGATAGATAGAGGGTAAGGGAATGTTGAGTATCTTCCTTCAATTTGTCAGGGTCCTGGGAAGAAACAGGTGGCATACTCAACAAGTCATTCCAGAATGACTGGAATCTAGATAACATTTAAAATTACCAGTCCTTTGGGGGATCAGTGATTAGTTAGTAGGCTTGTGGCTAATGTGTAATCTTTTTTTCCTACCCCCTTAGTTCGGGATGACGTATATACCTCATTTTGCCTGACTGTCTTTGGAATTTCTAGGTTGTGTGGATTCTCTGTACATAGGAAATTAAATTGGATTTCCTTCTGCTAATTTGTCTGGTGTCAATTTGAGTCTTAGTCCAGCTACAAGGACCTTGAAAGGGACAGGAAATTCTTGCTCCCCGGCAAGGTGTGTCCGCTGGACACCTGAGCTCGCTGGACCCTGCTCGCCCCACAAGCTGCTGTAGCTGAGAGATCTGTAGGATATCTGACAGCTGACACATGGTAAGATTTCCTACCGTCAGTCTCTCAGAATTTCTGTCTGCAGAGTCTGATGGAGCGGGAATGGCGACAGTCCTTTTTCTCTCTGTCTGAATTTAGATTAGCAGGAGAAAATACTTGTGGAACTAGTTCCTTGGGCTTCGTGCCTCTTGGTAAATTCGGTAGGGTCCTCTTTGCTGCTGATCTTTTTCCTCCCAGAGATGGTCTTTGTTTGCCTTTGTGTCTTTTATGTCATTTGTCATATGAACTTTGCTATAGGTTAATGGGCATATGAGGGAAAGGCTGTTGCTTAAGGACATCTTGGAAGCCAAAATGGCGAAATTGGCAGACACTGGTAGAACACTTAAAAGCTGTTAGAGCTAGGGCACCTGACTGGTTCAGTCAGTGGAACATGCGACTCTTGATCTCGGGGTTGTGGGTCTGAGCCCCATGTTGGGTGTGGCGATTGCTTAAAAAATAAAAACTTAGAGCACTCACCACCTCCAGAAGGCTCCTATGATAGGATAAGTTGGTCAGAGAACAGGTTGGATTGGCAGGTCACCTGCCAGCCTCAAGAAAACTTGTGTGCAGTGAGGCACATCGGAACACAACATATTATCTCCAAGCCTGTGGCCCAGCCCTCGGGTGTTAGTGTGGCTCCAAGTGACCCAAGGCTTAATTAAAGCTCTTAATGTGCATATACAAGATAAGATTTTTCCTTTCGTATTGTTCTATGGGCTAAGACTTTGGCTCTATGACCAGTGAGAATATTCTCTTTGGTCTCCACCATCTGGAGGATGCACTTACCAGGGTGTACCTTGGTGGCCAAATACAGTGGGGCTCCAAGTCTCTCTCTCTGTCTGGCCACACCAGCTCTCAAGCTTGTTTGTCGTGAGAGGTCCAGCCCACCGGAACCTTTGTCATGTCAGCCTTCCTTTCTTGTGGGTGCCGGGAAGCCCCACTCCAGGAGTGCTGCCCAGTGTCACAGAGTAGCAGGTCTGTGACTGGAGGCATCTCACTTTTTGCAGTGAACTATTACACCAGTGTTCTTTAGATTGTACAACTTAGAAACATGTGTTTCTTCACAGTACAGTCTTTCAGTAAGGCACAAACTAGGTTTACTAACAGACCCAAATTTATCTTTTGTTTCTCTGTAATAAGACAAAAGGAGAGAAACCTATATTTGCTACTTAATGTTTCATTATTTTATCTCATTTGGAAATGATCTAGATATTCAATGAATTTAGCTTAACATTTAACTTAGCAAAACTTTAAAAATGCAGGTTACCAAAGATTTTGGTAGCTCTTTAAAAGTTTACCTACGGGGCACCTGGGTGGCTCAGTCGTTAGGCCTCTGCTTCTGTTCATGTCATGTACCTACGGGGCACCTGGGTGGCTCAGTTGTTAGGCCTCTGCTTCCGTTCATGTCATGATCCCGGGGTCCTGGGATCGAACACCACATCGGGCTCCCTGCTCCGCGGGAAGCCTATTTCTCCCTCTCCCACTCCACCTGCTTGTGTTCCCTCTCTTGCTGTCTCTCCCTGTCAAATAAATAAATAAAATCTTAAAAAAAAAATAAAGTAAAACTTTACCTACACATGATCCTCACAGTCGTGGGATAGAGCCCCTCATTGGGCTCCAAACTTAGTGTAGGGTCTCCTTCAGATTCTTTCTCCCTCTCCCTCCCCGCTTGTAAACACTCTCTCTCTCTAAAGTAATAAATAAAATCTTTTTTAAAAATAAGATAAAAAGGTATGTAGGCAAACCTTTATTATTATTTACCTTTACTTAATTTACTTGTTCTGAACAGTTCAGTCTATGCACAAAATTTTATGAGGCATTAGACAAAGTCAGTCATCATTTTAAGTTTTGTTTTGTTTTGTTTTCTGAAAAAGTTTGTAAGAGATACCATGAACTTATTTGACTTCCGGTAAATACAGGCAGACTACAAGTTTTATATTTAATCCTGATAACTCTAAAGATATGGCTATTTTAATTAAACCAACAACCTTAAATTAGCTTTAATACTGAGTATCTTCCCTGATCACATAAACTTGAAAAACATTTAGGTTAGTTTCTTTCTGAGATTTAAGAATTTTTTCTTTTTTTAAAGATTTATTTATTTATTTGAGAGAGAACAAGAGAGAGCATGACTGTGTTGAGGGGCAGAGAGAAGGGGAGAAGCAGACTCTCCCGCTGAGCAGGGAGCCCAACTCAGGGCTAGATCCCAGGACCCTGGGATCATGACCTGAGCCGAAGGCAGACGCTTAACCGACTGAGCCACCCCGGCGCCCATCTTTCTGAGTTTTAGAATGCCCAATTCTTATGAGTGCTTGCCTTCAACTAAACGGAGCTCTTTTACCAATTAATTTTGGCAATACCACCTGGAAGTAGAGAAAATACCTCACGTTTGCAACATGGGACACATACAAGCAAGATAGAGATATTCTTATAGCTTTTGTTTTTACTAATATTTGTGGTGAGGACGTTCTAGCCCCAATTCTCAAGTACCTCCCTCTTTTACTTTTTTTAATGAAAAACTTTCCCCTAAAGCTTGTATCTAAAAGAATGGCTCTTATATCCTAGAGATGATAGGGTAGAAAATTTATATCCCAAAGGCACAGAGAAAGCTCCAAGTTTTTTCCAAGTCTGGACATAAGAGGGATTTAAGCAGTTTGTACTTTGAAAAGGCCTCTTCCCACACCACTCCCCCTCTTGTATTTTTTTCAGTCTTGGGTGACTGTGGGCTATGTTCAAAGACATTAGATTTATAATTTCAGGGGGCACCTGGGTGGTTCAGTTGGTGTCCTGCTCTTAATTTTGGCTCAGGTCATGATCTGAGAGTCGTGAGGTTGGGCTCTGCATTGGGAGTGGAACCTACTTAAGATTCTCTCTCTCTCTCTCCCTTTGCTCCTGCCCTCCCCCAACCCTCTTAAAAAAAAAAAAAAGAAAGATTTATAATTTCAAGGGACAGAGAAATAATGTAAAAAATATTTTTATTTCTAAAGTTTCAGGGTAATTGCCATTTAAAATTTACCTTTTTTTTTTAATTACTGGACAGTTTTGTTCCAAATCCTGATCTTTTATAGTATCTATAAACATTTTGAGAGGAATAGGCAAAGTTTGGAGATGGGTAAAGAGAGGTGGGCTTGGACTTGTTTCTTGAGCTGGATTTCTGGTTTGGTAGGGCTTTGGAAGGCAAAGACAGTTGTTTAGAAACAGTTCCCCCAGAGAACTGGATTACAGCCTGAATATCAAGGGACTGGCCCACCTTTTTAACTAAACTTGATTTTTTATATCAGGGAGATTTTTAATTAAAGTGGGGATCAAAAGATTCCTGCCTTTGTAAAGTCTGTATAAAGCATTTTAACAAAAGCCTTCTATCTGGGTACATAATTTAATCTGGGCTTCTGTTAGCCCCTGAATATTGGCCTTTCCCTGATCATTTATAGGTGGGCCTGGGAGAAGTTTTGGTCATGTTTCCTCTCTGAACGGGGGTTGTGACTAGTGATTAATCTTTTAAATTTATCTCTGAATTTGGTAGAATCCTTTGAAAGTAGAGGTTTAAAGGGCTTTATAATTTAAAAGGTCTGCTGCTGTCCAGGGGACACAAATTTCCTTTGCAGTGTCGGCCTAGAATACACACCAACCAAGTGCCATGCCCAAAGCTGGCAGAGCCTGATTACAGAGCCCTGGAAGGTAGGAGCAAAGTGAGCCTTACTGCTTTTGTTAAATTCATTTCCTGGTGTTCAGCATTTACATGAGCAAGCTGTATATTTTGAATCTAGAGATGAGGCTGGAGTGCTCTATGTAAATCCTAAAGGGAAAGGGAAGTTAAAATAGGCAGATGAGCAGATGAGGCTGGAGTTTAGGGGAAATTTATGTTGGATGTGCACATTTATTTCTAATTTCTGTTCTTTCATCTTGTCAAGGGAGTCCCTTAGGCTAGTAATTAAGCTAGAACAATTGAGAGCTCTCTAACAAGAACATTTTTCTTTGGGACGCCTGGTTGGCTCAGTTGGTTAAGCGTCTGCCATCGGCAGGTCACGATCTCAGGGTCCTGGGATTGAGCCCTGTATTGGGATCCCTGCTCAGTGGGGAGTCTGCTTCTCCCTCCCTCACTCCCTCTGCCCCTCCTGACAGCTCATGCTCTCTCTCTCTCAAATAATAAAATCTTTTTTTAAAATAAAGTTTTTCTTCTTTTTTCAAAATTAGCCAACTTAAAGGATACATCATCAGGCCATTGATGAGTAGGATCTGTTATGAGTAACTCTAGTAAGCCTTTTAATGCCTTAGGCATCCAGAGAGAGGGCATAGATGATGCAGCCCTCATGATCCAAAAGTTGATTCCCATAATTAGTCTAAGAAGGCAGAGGCCTTCATTGCAGGTCTCCAGTGAAATCATGAGATGCCTCTAGTCACAGACTCAATAATCTGTGACACTGGGCATGTGCTCCTATAATGGGTCTATCCAGCACTAACAAACAAAGGTTGACAATATAAAGGTTCCCATGGGCTGGGATTTCTCATGACAAACACCCTTGAGAGTTGGTATGGCCAGAGAGACAGACTCAGATCCCCAGTCTTTTTGACTGGCTTCCAAGGTGCAGCCTGGTAAATGCATCCTCCAGATGGTGGACCAAAGAGAATATTCTCACTGGTCACAAAGCCAAGCTCTTGGGACATTGTACAAGACAAAAGGAAAAACCTTATCTGGTTCTCCTTTGGCTAAACCTTAGGTTTCTTGGAGCCACATGAACACCTGAGAGGGATGTGCCACAGGCAGATGTTGGCTATTTTTCCCCGTGTACCTCATTGCACGGAAGTTTTCTTGAGGTTGGCAGGTGAACAAATGTCCATCTAACCTGTTCTGTGACCACCTTATCACAGGAGCTTTCTAGAGGTGGTGAGTGCTCTCATAGCTTTTTTTTTTTTAACTTTTTATTTATTTATTTATTCATGAGAGACGGAGAGAGAGAGAGAGAGAGGCAGAGGGAGAAGCAGGCTCCCAAGGAGCAGGGAGCCTGATGCGGGACTCGATCCCAGGACCCTGGGATCATGACCTGAGCCGAAGGCAGACGCTTAACCATCTGAGCCACCCAGGCGCCCTTGCTCTCATAGCTTTTAAGTGTTCCACCCGTGCCCAATTTTGGAGTTTGATTTCCAAGTTATCCCTTAGCAACAGCCTTTAACCTACAGCAAAATTTATCTAAACAGGTGCCAGTCTGATGAGAACCATGAACTCACCAGTCTGTGGGACTAACTCAAACAGCAGGCTTATAGGGTCTAAGCCTGCTTTCTGCGCGATGGTAATTCCTTTTTATGACAGATGATGTAAAAGAAACAAAGGAGGGACGCCTGGGTGGCTCAGTCGGTTAAGCCTCTGCCTTTGGCTCAGGTCATGATCCCAGGGTCCTGGGATTGAGTCCCACGTCGGGCTTCTTGCTCAGCTGGGGTATGCTTCTCCCCCTGCCTGCCACTCCCTCTGCTTGTTCTCTCTCTCTCTCTCTCTCCATCTGACAAATAAATAAAATCTTTAAAAAAAATTAAAAAAAAGACACAAAGGAAAACAAAGACCTGATCTCTTTCCCCCAAAAACGTACTCTACCAAATTTACCAAGAGTTGCTAAACATAAGGAACTAGTTCCACAAGTATTTTCTCCTGCTAATCTACATTTAGACAGAGAGAAAAAGGACTCTGACCATTCTTGCTCCATCAGACTCCTCAGATTCCAGGAGACTGACATGGTAGGAAATCTTCCCTGCTGCCAGCTATCTGTCAGATGTCCCAAGGCTCTCCAGCTGTAGCCTTGTGTGGGGCAAGCAGTATCCAGTGTGTTAAAGCATACTGGCAATTAGGCCAGCTGTCCAGGAAGAGGAATTTTTCTCTGCCTTTCAGGGTCCTTCCCAGCTGGACTAAAAATCAAATTGACATGGGACAGATTAAGAGGAGAAAATCAAATTTAGTTTCACAGGTATGGGGAATCCACAAACATATGAAATTACAAAGCCAGGCAACATAGACTTCTACCACATCCTGAGCTAAGGAGAAGGGGAGGGGCCTGGGGATTCAAAGGGGGAGGTAGACCATTAGCAGGAAGGTGAGAGGAGATGTTTCAAAAACACAGGTTGCCCTGTTGTGACGAGAAGTTTCATAGATAAGGAAGAATCTTGTTAATTGCTCTTTTCCTGGTACAGGCCGGCAGTTGAAGGAGAGGTAGGGAGGTTTCCTTGAATCTGCTGGGTTTTGGTTGCTTTTAATTCAAAATAATCTTTATGCCAAAGTGGCCCATCCTGGGGCAAGGTGCCCTTGCCCCTACTCATGCACACAAAAATACGTGCTGAGGAAATGAAGGAAACCACATTTCAGTGTAGATAAAAGAAGCTGTGGGTTAGTCTATTAATATATTTTCTCAATCCATATTTATTGAAGCCTCCCTGTGTGCCAGCTCAGAAACAGAATTAAATGAATATTGAATTTATGTGTCGTTTTTAGGAAAGAGAGCTTGTGTTGGAGAAGGCCTGGCCCGCATGGAACTCTTTTTACTACTGACCAACATTTTACAGCATTTCACCTTGAAGCCTCTGGTTGATCCAAAGGACATTGACACCACCCCAGTGGTCAGTGGGTTGGGCACTGTACCACCCTTCTTCAAGCTCTGTTTCGTTCCAGTCTGAAGAAAGGCCAGGCTGCCAGGTTGCAGAGCCATACTCTGGCCTCAGCTGAATATGCCAGATGCTTTCTGGCCTCTGTGTTAGCCACTGTCCACCTCTCCTTTCACGTCAGGGAGGACATTCCTGACCCTGTCTCTTCTCATTGCCCTCATCTTTTAAGATTCAGTTCAGATTTACCCATATGAAACAAAACTCACTGGTACTTTCCAATTCTTTGTGGAGTCCAATTGTGAGATGGTGCTATAGCTCATCTGCAGTGTGTACCAATGCAAGGCACCTTATTAATATATTTTCTTCTATTAAAAATTACAAATTATCGGGGCGCCTGGGTGGCTCAGTTGGTTAAGCGACTGCCTTTGGCTCAGGTCATGATCCTGGAGTCCCAGGATCGAGTCCCGCATCGGGCTCCCTGCTCAGTGGGGAGTCTGCTTCTCCCTCTGACCCTCCCCCCCTTGTGCTCTATCTCATTGCTCTCTCAAATAAATAAAATCTTTAAAAAAAAAATTATCCCATGAGTTAAAAAAATTTTTTTAAATATATGATATTCACTCATTTCTTATCCCTATCTCCTGACAGTTTGGCATGTGTATTTTTGTTTTTATCCCTATGATTATTAAAAAATGGGTGGGGTACATGTTTGTGTAGGTATGTATGTACAAATATGTACATGCAGGAAGAAAACGGGATGGTCATTTCAGCCAGAAGCAATAACAGATAAAATACGAATTTGTTGGTCTCTCCAAGGATGCTCTTCCTGTTTTCCCCTGCTGGTTAAACACACAATTGGAGACACACACATACACAAAGAAGGCAAAGACGAGGGAAAGATAATATGTATATATGGTTATATTCGAATATACATGTACAGAAATGTTTTATGTATGTATATATACATATTTCTGTATAATATACCTATGATTTGGTAGTGACATTTATATAATAACATTATAGATATTTTTACAAGTAGTATAAATATAATATCCTGTCACATGTCTCCTTATTCAAGGATATCTAGATGATTTTTGAACTTTTGTTAATATAAAAATCCTACTATATGCATATATCTTTCATTCTTAGGAATAGATGTGAAGTGGCTGCACATATATGTGCACTTTTATTTTTCATAGATACTGAAGCATAACACACACAAAAATTATGTATCTGTTTACTTTTCTATCATGAGTGTAAAAAAAAGGCTATTTGACCAAACACTTGTGTATACTGAGGATTGAATTCTTTGATAGATTTAGTAATTTCTAGCTAAAAATTCATAGATTTTCAAGTAAGAAATCATGTCATCTGTAAACATTTCATTGCAATGACCAGAACTTTCCAGAAATAACATCTATACCTATGTCTGTCTCTGATTTATCATGCACACAAACACACACATGTACACACACGTATATATATATTTGTCACCATGGAAGGCGATGAAAGCTGCAAGGATTTGTTGGGACAAGTAACAGAGGGCTTGGGAAATCCATATTGGGAAGCCTGATATTTGTGTGATTTTACCCTTGAGGTGATTGCTGATTTGAAATCAGGTGCTGAGAGGCTGAAAGGCTAACTATAAAATATCAATTAGGAGCCTTAGAATCTGAAAAGAATTTTTACAAATTCTCTGGGCTAGAAGAAGAAAAGTGAGTTCAGAGCTGGCCAAGTAGAAAGGACCAAGTAAACACCTCAACTTGACTTGAAGTCTGAAGGCCTTGATGAAGATCACCCAAGGATCAAGACTAACCCTGAAGCTGAACCTGCTGACTTCTAGGAAATTGAATCAGTAATCAAAAAACCCAATAAAAAGTCCAGGACCAAATGGCTTCACTGGGTGAATTCTACCAAACATTTAAGAAGAGTTAATACCTAGTCTCAAACTATTTCAAAAAATAGGGGTGCCTGGCTGGCTCAGTCAATAAAACATGCAACTCTTGATCTTGGGGTTATAAGTTTAAGCCCCACATTGGGTGTAAAGTTTACTTTAAAAAAAACACAAAATCTTAAAAAAAAAACTTCCAAAAAATTCCAAATTCCAAAATTCCAGATTCAGTCTATGAGGCCAACATTACCCTGTTTGCAAACCCAAAGACACTACAAAAAAACACAAGAACTACAGGCCAATACCCCTGATGAACGTAGGTGTAAGAATCCTCAACAAAATACCAGCAAACTACATTCAACAACACCTTAAAAAGATCATCACCACATTCAAGTGGGATTTATTCCAGGGAGGCAAGGACGGTTCAGTATCTGGAAATCAATCAATGTGATAAACCACATTAACAAAATGAAGGGTAAAAAAATTACATGATCAGGGCGCCTGGGTGGCTCAGTCGGTTAAGCGTCTGACGTCAGCTCAGGTCATGATCCTGGGGTCCTTGGATTGAGTCCTACATCGGGCTCCTTAGTGGGGAACCTGCTTCTTTCTCTGCCTGCAGCTCCTCCTTCTTGTGCTCTCTCTCTGACAAATAAAATCCTAAAAAAAATTACATGATCATCTCAAATTCAGAAGAAGCATTTGACAAATTCAACATCTATTCATGATAAAAGCTCTCAACAAAGTGGGCTTAGAGGGGACATACCTCAACATAACAAAAGCCATATATGGCAAACCCACAGCTAACATCATCCTCAATGGTGAAAAATTTAGAGCTTTTCTTCGAAGATCAGAAAAGAGACAAGCATGCCCACTCTCACCACTTTTATTCAACATAGTACTGGAATTCCTAGCCACAGCAATCAGATAAGAAAAAGGAGGGGGACCCAACCACCCCATCCCTCCCACCCCCAACCATTCCAGTAACACTCAGTTTGTTTCCTGAGATTAAGAATTCCTCATATCCGTGAGGTCATGTGATACATGTTTTTCTCTGATTGACTTATTTCACTCAGCATAACACCCTCCAGTTCCATCCACGTCGTTGCAAATGGCAAGATCTCATTCCTTTTGATGGCTGCATAATACTCCATTGTGTATATATACCACATCTTCTTTATCCATTCATCTGTCGATGGACATCTTGGCTCTTTCCACAGTTTGGCTATTGTGGACATTGCTGCTATAAACATTGGGGTACACGTACCCCTTCGGGTCCCTACATTTGTATCTTTGTGGTAAATACCCAGTAGTGCAATTGCTGGATCGAACGGTAGCTCTAATTTCAACTGTTTGAGGAACCTCCATACTGTTTTCCAGAGGGGTTGCACCAGCTTGCATCCCCACCAACAGTGTAGGAGGGTTCCCCTTTCTCCACATCCCCGCCAACATCTGTCGTTCCCTGACTTGTTAATTTTAGCCATTCTGACGGGTGTGAGGTGGTATCGCATTGAGGTTTTGATTTGGATTTCCCTGATGCCGAGTGATGTTGAGCACTTTTTCATGTGCCTGTTGGCCATTTGGATGTCTTCTTTGGAGAAATGTCTGTTCATGTCTTCTGCCCATTTCTTGATTGGATTATTTGTTCTTTGTGTGTTGAGTTTGATAAGTTCTTTATAGATTTTGGATACTAGCCCTTTATCTGATATGTCATTTGCAAATATTTTCTCCCATTCTGTCGGTTGTCTTTTGGTTTTGTGGACTGTTTCTTTTGCTGTGCAAAAGCTTTTTATCTTCATGAAATCCCAATAGTTCATTTTTGCCCGGGCTTCCCGTGCCTTTGGCGATGTTTCTAGGAAGAAATTGCTGCGGCTAAGGTCGAAAAGGTTGCTACCTGTGTTCTCCTTTAGGATTTGGATGGACTCCTGTCTCACGTTTAGGTCTTTCAACCATTTGGATCACAGATCTGTACTTCTGAAACAAATAACACAACATATTTTAAGAAAAAAGAAAAAGAAGAAGATAACAGGAGAGGAAGAAAAGGGGAGTATGTCAGAGGGGGAGACGAACCATGAGAGATGATGGACTCTGAAAAACAAACTGAGGGTTCTAAAGGGGAGGGGGGTAGGGGGATGGGTTAGCCTGGTGATGGGTATTGAGGAGGGCACGTTCTGCATGGAGCACTGGGTGTTATGAACAAACAATGAATCATGGAACACTGCATCAAAAACTAATGATGTAATATATGGGGATTAACATAACAATAAAAAAAATTATAAAAAAAAAAAAGAAAAAGGAGGGGGGAAAGGCATCCAAATTGGTAAGGGAAAAGTAAAACTGTCACTATTTGCAGATGACATGATATTATACATAGAAAACACCAAAGCCTCATCTGTAACTTTTGACTCCCCCCAAAACCTAACTACTAAAACCTACTGTTTACAAGAAGTCTTCTGGTAACATAGTTTATTAGCACATATTTTGTATGTTATATATATTAGGTACTGTATTCTTACAATAATCTAGAGAAAAGAAAATAAGAAAATCATAAGGAAGAGAATACATTTAACATACTGTATTTATCCAAAAAAATCTGCAAAGAAGTGGACCTGCACATTTCAAACCTATCTTGGTCAAGGGTCAACTGTATATACAATGGAATATTATTCAGCCATAAAAAAGAAAATCCTGCCATTTGCAACAACATGGCTGAAACTTCAACACACTATGCTAAATAAAATGTCAGAGAAAGACAAATACTGTATGATCTCATTTATATATGGAATCTAAAAAAACGACCTAATTGATAACAGAGAACAAATTGGTGGTTGTCAGGGATGGGTGGTGGGGTGAATGAGGTTAATATGGTCAGAGGGTACAAACTTCCAATCATAAGATGAATAAGTTCTGGGGATATAATGTACAGCATGGTGACAAAACTATCATATATTTCAAAGTTGCTAAGAGAATAGATTTTAAAAGTTCTCACCATACACAAAAAAATTACAACTATGGAGGTGATACTTGTGTTAAATAACCTTATTGTGGTAATCTATTTGTTATATATACATAAATCATTATGTCGTATACCTTATATTTATACAATGTTCTATGTCAGTTACATCTTAATAAAGCTAAAAAAATTCCTTATATAAAAATTTTTTAAAATTGGGGCACCTGGGTAGCTTGGTTGAGCATCGAGTCTTGGTTTCGGCTCCAGTCGTGATCTCGGGGTTGTGAGATCAAGCCCCATGTTGGGCTCCCTGCTCAGTGTAGAGTCTGCTGGGGATTCTTTCCCCCATCCTTTCCTTCCCCCTTTGCTCCTCCCCTCTGCATGTGCGTGCTCTCTCAAAATAAATTAAAAAAAAAAAACCTTTGTACTGATTTTATATGGCTTTAGAGCAAAGATAAAGGACCTTTCAGAAAGTTTTTCTTAGGTTATTCAACAATTGTATAAATTATCTAATGTATGTTGCACTGGGAATTAATGCTTCTAGATTGTCAGGAGCTTCATGCCCTCTTGTTAGTAAATACATGAGAAATCTGAAGTGTTCTGAGTAAATGTAATTTTTTCTCTTTCATGTCAAAAGAAATAAAATAGCCACACAGAAATGTACAAATGAGCTAGGTCAAAACATAAAGGAGAGTGCCCTGTCCAGCAAGGACTTTAAAAGTTAAACCTT